GACAATTTCAACAAAATGCACGGCACATAATAAAATGGAAATTAACTTCTACAGTTTCGTTTAGTAAAGAATAAATACTGCCTTCTCCGGATAAACAACGCAGTGCGTATTTCATTTGATATATGCATGTCCATTTGTGAATGTGACTCTTGCACTTATTGTAACATTTCAAAAGGATTTGCTGAGGTGGAACAATAGAGAAAAAATAAGTTTACCAAGGAAAACATAAATTGATTGTCAACATTAAATTGTGTACCTTTACATGAAAATTATGTAGAAAAGCGATAATTTTTTAGGCAAATAGATAGTGGTATTGTTTAATTATCTTCGGGATAGGTGTTGCTACGGCCATGTTAAAATTTAGTCTGCGGCCACGTTGATCACTAGGGCCTACAAAAACGAACAAACAATTTTGCGGAACCTAATTTTGTGTAAAATACGTGGTACCACTTCTTTTTCGTCTGTGGATCTAGGATGGCATTAAATTAAACAGCATCCTTAAATTATGTTTCGCACATATTGGTTTGGCTACTATTAAAAAAAACAGTCCGGCAGGTACGGAACAAGTATATCCTGTGCTTTCTCCATCTCCTGGTGTTCCCTGACTAGCAAAAAACAACGATTGGTTTGGAATCTATGCGTACGGCTAGCAGCCTTTTAATCTTTCTTACAAACGTTTTATTGTCACCTGACAACTATCCGGACGAATACCTGGTAAACAGGAATTTATCTTAAACAAATCATACGGCAAACAATTTAGAGTTCTCAAGAAAGCAAGATTGCCTTAACTTTTCCTATTATTTCTAGAGCCTGTAGATATTGAGGAAGAGGATGATGTTTTGTCGGCCTTTTACTTTTACTGATTCCGTTGTTGTATAGATTATAATTCAGACACTCTGACTTCAGACCTCTACCAAAGGATGGTTTTAATGAGTTATGCTTCGGTGGGTTGAAATAGCCTGTTTGGTCGCCCGCTTTAAATGACTGTATTTAAAGGTCATACGTATTTTTAAAGGTTTAGGCATATAATTGTTGGCCCCATGTAATTTAACAAAATTGTGAATGCTAACATACATGGTTAGTAACCCAAATCTGTCACTTGCCATATGAGATCTATTGAGCAAAACTGGAACAAACTTGACAATGAATTGGGCACACCTGGCTTTTCTCTGATGAGATGTCTGCGTAGGAGATGTAGGATGTGCCTTTGACTGAGGGTCAAGATGTAAAGTGGCAGCTTCCTTTTGCCCATAAGACTAACATCTTGTAATTCGGGGCTTCAACTATCAGCAAACATATCTTAGGATGCGTTTCGCTTTCCCTAAGTACATCCGTATAATGGCGTGAGGCCGATAAACAGTTATTATACTAGTATACATGTTCTTCCGCGAACTATTTGCAACTTTTGTTCTGCAGATGTTGCTTATTACAGGAACATAACAGAGACGCCGGAGGAAGATCAGAGGGGAAATGTTGATTTGCCCGAATAAATTACCAAACGTGATCGATGAATGTTCAGGTGTTTTTGGTGCAAAGGAGAATGTAAAGATGGCAAAATATACACCGTTCTCCGTGTATAGGTCTGCAGTCATCACCGAACCGTATTTAGTGCAATGGAAATATTGCGAGGCAGATAGGGAGGAAAGGTTTACCTCAGTTCACAAAGGGAAAATACTTTGTATTTGCTGCATCATCAATATAATTTAAACCCACTAAAAATAAGGAATTTTATTTAGGGACAGAGGAAGTTAGTGCTGTCTCTCATGCACACATTTTTGTGCTTAATATTATATTCAACAAGTTATGTTTATATACAAAGTATTTAAATGTGGATATGAAATAAAGAACATAATACCATATAAACACAAATATTTTTTTCAGAAGACGAGGTGGCGAGCATACGTAGCTTTCGATAAAGCATGCAAGCGATAAGAGAAGTCGATAAAAGTACTCCTTAAACAAAGGCGGGGTGGGAGACTGTGGGGGAGGGGGTGGGGGTAATAATAGTCATTGTCAGGGGCGGGGTGAGAGCGCAAGTGCGCGGGGGGAGTTGCACCGTTAGTCAGCCTTCGACCACGGTAGGCGCGGAGCCTGAACGTGATTCTTCTGAGCGCATAAGGTTGGTTTTCGTAACCTAATGGCGGCCGCTTCCGCTGTCGCTAACAGGCGCTGGCCTAGAAGCTTAGGGTAGCTCGATGGGACCTCATAAATCACACGAAAAGCTTCGTTGGGGTCCACACGATGTCCGGAATCGACAACATGCGCGAGAATGGCGCTGCTTATACTCCTCGTTTCGCCTTTTCCTAGCCATGCCGGGAGGTGTTCGCGTATTCTTTTGGATAAGCGCCGACTCGTGCGACCAATATAACCTACTCCACAGGAGCAAGTGAAGGAATATATGCACATTGAGGTGGTCTGCGGTGGCAACTTATCCTTACCTTCTCCGCGTAAAATAGGGTTAGTAGAGAATGATATTTGAACCCTTGCTGCTGGGAAGCTTCGCGAGACAGCTTGATCAAGACGTCTCCTAAGGAGTTCACTCGTCGCGTCCCCTTGGAAAGGGACTTTGAGGAACAAAGTTTTCTTTTCAGCGGTCAATGTGGCGGGTTTAACCGGTCATTCGACAATGTTCTTTGCAATGAACCTGTCAGGATACCCGTTTTCTCGAAGGAAGTCCTGGATTTTTCTGAGCTCCTCCTCGATGCTATCTGTTGAGCAAATGTTTCTTGCTCTTTGCGCCAGACATCGGACTAGATTTCGTTTTTGTTGGAGGGGTACGAAACTGGCAAATTTCGTGTATTGTCCAGACCAGGTTTTCTTCCGATAGACGCTTCTTCGGACACTGCCGTCAGGTCTCCTGCTTAGAAGAACATCTAAGAAAGGGAGCGAACCGGCCGTTTCGATCTCCAGCGTGAATTTGATCGACGGATGTGCCTGATTTGCCGCATCCAAAAGGGTAGGTACGTCGGCTTCTGCAGTGGCAATTGCAAATATATCATCAACGTAGCGACCGTAATGTTTAAGCTTATCGATCTGATCGCTTAGTTGGAATCGCTCTAATTTGCCCATGAAGACATCCGCTAGGAGAGGTCCAAGGGGTGAGCCCATAGCAACGCCGTCTACTTGTCTATAAAGTTGGTTGTCGAACAGGAACTGCACATTTAATGTGCATTTTAGTAACAGTTCCTTGAGTGCCTTCGTCGGGAGTCCTATTTCCTGCTGACTTGCAGATAGAAAATCACAGATGTAATCAAATGTCTCGGTGACCGGAACGTTTGTAAAAAGTGATGAGACGTCTAGCGAGAACATCACCATGCCATTGACGTTAAGGTCTTTGATGTCGTCAATGAATTCAAAGGTATCTCGGTAGCTGCGTGGTGCTAGCTGACGCTGTACGGGCTTGAGTTTCTCTGCTAGCCACTTTCCTATCGCATGATACGGAGAGTTTCGCATGTCTAGGATTGGACGGACTGGCAGTCCTTCCTTATGGATCTTAGGTAGACCATATAGTCGAGGGATATGTGTGCCGACTGGTCGGAGGTGTTCTAGGTCACGGTCGGTTATGTGACCCCCTGTGTGGAGCCTTCTTAGACAGTCAGTCAGTTTCCTCTCTACTTCTTCCGTGCAATCCTTTTCTTTGTCTACCTTCCTGAATTTCTTCTGGTCTGATAATATGGACTGTAGCTTCGCTACGTAGTCCGATCTGTTCATTATAACGACGCCTGTTCCTTTGTCCGGTCTAGTTACCAAGATAGCTTTGTTCTCTCGAAGTTCTTTTAACTTTTCCACATGTGCTTTTGTCAGCAATCCCCGACTCTTTGGCCCCTTGTTCAGGTACTGATAACTGCAATTCACCAATGTTGATTTAAAGTGTTGGATACTGTCTGTGGAAGTGGGCACTAGATCATAGGTTTGGTTCCATAGGTTCTCGAACTGAGTTTCCAATTCTAACTGATTAACTTTTCGACGACGTATGCAAAACTTAGGACCAAGGGATAATACTTCAAGTGATGTTTTATCAAGTGTCAAGTGTCAACTATTTTTTGGCCTCGAGGATTCCCAACATAGTGTTCCGATGCATACTTTCATTGTTGATACACGGTCGCAAGGTTCATTGAGTGGATTGAAAATACGCATATGAATATAAGTATGTGGGCTGCACATATAACTTTGCATTGACGGGCTACGTAGCAGTGCGTCTCACACTCAGTTCTAGAATAAAGCCAACAATAGTGTGTCAGACCTTAGCATGGCGTCATCAGGTTCGTATGACGGGGTTCAAGTGGGTAGAGTAATGATGCCCAAATCACCGCAAGCTTGTTAAAGCCACCTACGGGAATCATTACCGTTACATAGGCTTCAAGGGCAGATTTACGTCCACTCGTGGAACTTATTGTAGCGTCAAATAAGCAAAGCTTTTTTGTTCGGGTGAATCATGCAGGCATAAATACAATGCATGGGCGAATACGCATTAACCTTCGTCTCACCATCTAACTGGTTAAAATTCTATCCGGGATTTTTGGTCTTTAAATATTACCAATAGTGACAGTTTAAGGAAAACAATACATAGTCCAACACACTCGACTTCAATGTAAACACTTTCTTTAATAAATGCCTCAGCGTAGTGGGTTTTCACTGCGAGACTGTTATATGTGTCATGGAATGGCATGCGTTTTGTGTATGCATATCTTTACGTGTATGGCGCTGATGCAAGCACTTGGGTTTTTAATGTACACAACGCTACGCATTAGATTTCCAAGGAATATGCCAGTGGGAAAGGCATGCCTTTTGAGAAAAGAAAGGAGAAAAAAGAAAAGGTATACCCGAAGAAAATACATAGTCCAACACAATCAACTTCAGCATGAAAAGTTTCTATAATAAATGCCTCAGCATACTGCAGTTTTCACTGAAAAAACGTTACGTTATTATTGGAACAGCACGCTTTTTGAGTATGCATATATATATGTATATATAAATATATGTATATATAAATATATATGCAGAATAGTATTACCGACAAAGACAAGGGAGACTGGAATGGCCATTTCTGGCTTATTAGCCGTCGTCAGCCAGCCATACCCAAGCCCGAAGTGTGGAACACCCGAGCCTCGAACTCGCGACCTGTTCGTTTAGAAGTCAACGCCTCTACTCAACAGAACGAGTGGCTTCCGTATGAACGATCGGTGAGCGCCCCTAACATAAATATATATATATATATATATCTTTATGGTGTTGATGCAAACATCCGGGTTTTTAGTGTACACAACGCTACGCATTCGATTTCCAACGAATTTGTTAGTGGGAAAGGCACGTCAGTTGAGAGCAGAGAGAAGAACAAATCAAACGGGAAGTTGATGCGTTCTCTGCATGTAAAAAAATAAAAGGAGATATAAAAACAGCTTGGAAAGAGGCATCTTGTGGTGTTGTATTTGGGATAGCTTTTGATTTCTTCTTTGTCGATCAGGCTATACGTAGATTGGTTATCTTTCGCTCAGCATGGCACAAAATAACAAAGCATTGGATTAAACTGGCAAAAAATTGTACAAAAAAACTAAAGCCCATGATGCAAATACTCACTTAAGATACGGAGTACGTGCGATACACTACACGAGGCAGAGATGACGTGCTTGTTCCTACAATAATGTACGACCGATCTCATGAAATGTTGGCCGAAAGTATGAAATGCGCATTCGATTAGGAAGCATTACTTGTAATAGTGATAACCATGAGGCAAAGTCTATAGTATTTCAGATTCGCCAAGATGTCTGTTTTTGATGAAGCTTCTTTCCGTTCCTCCTGCAAAAAAACACACGGTAAAAACTTACTACTTATGTAGCATGCATTTTTGCTATCGATTTTCAATGGTTTTGTAAATCCAAGTATATTTCATAGAAAACATGCACAACATATGCTTTCGTCTACTTCTTTGGTGAAAAATCACATTGTCTTGACGTTGTATACCCGAAGAAAGTGTATATTTAGATTTTTAAAAAGTTTCTTTGTATAACATTTTTTAAAACCGTGCGATGTACATACATACAGGACCGCACATGTCCGTTTACCAATGTTCCTAATTAAATGCGCAACACAGTCCGGATCCATCGCGAAATTTTAGGAATTTTGTGTGATACATGCTTAAAGGCAAAGAGGAATATGTGATTTTCCTTACGGGGAAAACGCGCACCTTGTAGACTGTAATCTGCAAATGCTCATGCTATGGCAGATCAGGCTCACAATTATTCGGGAATTGGAAACCTTTTTTTAAAACTTACCTACGGGACTCTCACGAATAGCGATATTTTCAAAGACTGACCAACGTTCACCGTTTAAAATGAATACAGCAGCTGATGGGCTGAACTGTACGTTTTATTCAAATCAGGCAGGCATGAACACGCTGACATAAAATAGATTTGGGCGCATACACGTTTTGCCTAGTACTGGCATGCACCAGGCTGAATTCTCATCGTCCTTTTTTATAAATTTCGTACGTCACGCAGTGCAGCAGCTTAATACAGCAAAACGCGCACCAACTTAACTTTACATTACTTATTATGGCATATGATGTCTCATTTACTGAAATGGGAGTATACTTAAGTTTTTAAAGGTTTGTACTTACCGAATAATTTGGAGCCTGATCATTAGCTGCACTAGCGCTTGGTGATGTCAGTCCACAAAGTGCGTACGCTTTGCTTAAAGAAAACCACATATCCGCCTATTATATACAGTGCAAACAAATTTGCAATGAATGCTGACTATGTTGTACATGACATGAGGAGTAGTGGTAAATAAACAAACACGACGCTATATTAAAGAACATTGCACTGTCTAAAAATCTGATGATTAGAAACTTTTTAAAACCTAATTGTAATTATTTTTCGAAGATAACATACATATGACATTATTCCCTATTCAACGACTAAAAAAATATCACTTCTTCGTGTTTTCTATAAAATATTTTTGAATTTGAAAGCCCATCGTAAATCAATGCGCAAAATTCGTGCTACATACAATAGCTGTGCTAACTTATGAAATGCCATCCCAAAATTCGAAATGTTGTCTCGTTTCAAATAGATTAATTTAATACAGTTTTAAAGCTTATCATCGTACAACATGATTTTACAGTAAGACAGTTTCCGCAGGGTGTAGGTTTTCCAACGAACCTGTTCTTGAATTAAGCGAGCGCGTGCTGTTTTGACGTACCTACAGGAATCACACGTCTGGCAATACTTTCAAAGACTGATCAGCGGTCATTCGTTAAAACAAATGCATGAGCAGCAGAGCTGGACTGCCTGGTATATTTGGGTCAGGCAACCATTAGCATAGTGACAACAAATAAATATGGGCACACACATACTTAATCTAGTACTGCAGTGCTTTAGGCGACATTTACCTCGTCAGTTATACGATTTCATGCGCCGCAATAATGCCGCAAGAGAATTAGTATTACGACCGCGCGTAAGTAATTCTTCGCAATCAAAAACACATTCAAAAATTTCAGCCAACATTTTATGAGATCGGTCAGTGAATGTATGCATTTAAATATACTCCTAGAGGGACGCTCAGCCTGTACACACGGACGTCTGTTTTGTCTCCGCAACCTCCATGTCCCCACTGCTTACCAGCACGATTATCTCTCTCGCATTGTTTATGTCGTCTGACCACTTGTTGGTGTTACCAACTTGAAATTTCGCAAGTATATCTCGATTTTTCCTTAAAATTGCTCCTTTTATTTTATCGCCTTAGAATGCATATCACCTCCCTTATTCAAAGTTTTATATACTGCCTAGAAAAATGCGAAGCAAATTTTATCATTTTACACATTTTGTGAAAATAGAACGACGCCGTTGAATTTCATAGTTGAAAAAATACGTTAGCCTACTTGAAAAAAGTGCCATATTAATGGATTGATAAGATCGTGATATCGTCCATCGTTAATCATGGTGCATTTTCATTCACTTATGCTAGACGTACAGTTTACAATATACGGCATATCCACTGTTCAATATCATGAACCTAATAAAGTCTCCTCCCAGAACCATTCAGAAATAAATGGATTTCCGCACACAGAAATTATACAACGTGTGGCTTCGAAACCATGAGTGCAAGTGCAAAGCCAAGTCAGGCCAACAATTATTCTGGAATAAGAAAAGTTTTTCAAAATCAACTTATGCCTTTCTGTCAAGTATACGATTTAAAGAAAACGTTATTTTCTACAAAACGAAGGAATGTAGGAATAGTCAAGGGCATAGACTTTCTGAAAATTATTTGAATTTTAATGCCCATCAAATATCAAAGAAAGGTCATACTAAATACGTAGTGATTTTTCACAGAGTGTATTTTCCACAGGCAACCGGAAAGATGTTCAGCCAAAAGCCGGCATTTTATTGTGAATTAAATGCTTGGGATTATGATGCAGATTATTAATCTAACAATCTTTGAAATGCATCATTTAC